TACCATCCTTTTCGTCCTTCTTCTTCCTGTCGACGTCCTCTGCTTCGGCATAGCGCCTAGCCGTCTTTATCAGATCTTCGTAACAGCGGGGGTGGTGGGCGTTCAGCTGCTTGTGGAAATACCCTGATCTTAAGGCATGGATGAATATTGGGATTGCCACCTTGGAGTCGAAGTTGTAGACATTATTGACTTCCTTTTTCCATTTTATCAGGAAGTCTTTGAGGCTCTCGCCTCTATCTTGCTTCACCATACAGAGGTGAGAGAAGGGTTTCTTACGCTGTATGCTACCGGAGAAGTATGTCAGGAAGCTCTTGGACAACTCCCAAAAGTTTTGGATCGACCCATCTGGGATGGTGTTGAACCAGTCTTGGGCCGCTCCATCCAGGGTGGACAAGAACGCTTGGCACATGATGGCGTCCCCTGCCCCGATCATTACCATAGTATCCTTGTACCTCGTCATGTGGACACGTGGGTCAGTGGCCCCCGTGTACTCCTTGATGGTGGGCAACCTAAAGTCCCTCGGCAAAGGTACGTCCATGATGCTTGGGGAGAATGGTGCTGCCATCCGTACCTCGGGTTCCGGCGACTGCTCCCGTGCCTCCACCCTTCTTGCTAAGTCCTCGATTCTTCTCTGCAGCCTCTCGACGAGGGCCGAGTCGTTAGGGTTTCGGCGCAGGGCCGGCTGCCGCTCCTTCAAGTGTCGGTGTGGAACCCGCTCATCAGCGTGTCGCTTCTCCGTCGAGTGCCGACGTGGAGCCGGCTCATCGACGCGTCGCTCCTCCAAGTGTCGACGTAGGGCCGACTCATCAATGTGTCGGCGTGGGGTCGGCTCCCGAGACTCGCCCACCTCCTCTGTGGGTGATCTCTCGGCTTCTCTGTTTTCGTGTTGGCAAGGGCCTCTGGTAGAGGACCCCTCAGCCCGTGATCCTAATCTTTGCCGCACGGGCGCCCTCTGTCCCAATCGTTCTGGTGCAGATTGGGAAGGGCCTGGTTGTCGTCTGGTCGGTCCACTTCTTTGGGTCACTACCCCTATTTCCTGGGGCCGCAGCGAGGCACTTTGCCTTGCAGTCCCACCGCCACTTGATTTAGCGCCGCCGTCACTGCTTGCTGAATGACATTGGCGGTCGCCTGGAGGTTCACGGCTTGGTTCGCCCCTCCATTGTTGAGTTGGTCTTGAAGGTCCCCGGGCCTCCCGTTGTTGAGCTGTTCTCGAAGTTCCCCTCCGTGATTGTTGGTGAGTTGGTCCCGGAGGTCACCAGAGGCATTGCCATTGTTCACGTTGCGGGAACCGTGGGAGCTGTGGGACACCATTCTTTCAAGCTTGCTGTTGAAAGAAGAATGAGTTGTGTGTATCGTCGCCTGCTTGAGTGTGGGACTCAGGCTCTCAATGAAAGCACCAATGACGGTAAAAATGTTACCGGTAGTAATAATATTAGAGTAACGCAATGTAAAAGAGTGGCAGTAGTTGTATTGCCAAGTGTTTTAGTACAAAATAGTCAACGTGTCCATTCAAGTCGAGGGGAGCTTCTACTTATACTAAGCCCTAACGGTAACATGGTAGAACATAAATGAGGAGCTGAGGCCTTTAATTCTCTCTCATCAATGGTGGCTTCAATGGCAATAAAAGTGACACCTGTTGGAATTCTGTCCGTTGGGTTTCCATGTGCTGCCGGGTCAAATATGGCGCCGGGTCAGATGCCCACTTATGATCCGGGTCGGGTGCCAGCCCTATTATTCTGTCAATATATATATATATATATATATATATATATATATATATATATATATATATATATATATATATATATATATGTATGTATGTATATGTATGTATGTATGTATAAAGAATCAAGTAAAAAAGAAACCTTAGGTGAAAAAATAAGATTTAATCTGATTCATGGAATCAGATCAGATCAACGTACAGGATGAAACAATTTTAAAAAAAAAATATGGTGTCATAATTGTAATTTTGTATAAGTTAGTTAATTTTATTTTTTTTTCCAGGCCTTCTAGTGCACATTTGTTGTGTCTTCAACATTTAAGTTAGTAGGTGTTTTATATATATATATATATATATATAAAATATTAAAGATCATTTGATGTTGAATGAATCACTAATTACGAATTTTATTTGAATAATATTGTGATCATTTATGATTTGTATTGAAGATCATGCATTAAATTTAGTATTTTCAATAATTATTTCATATTTTGTACCTTACTTGCACATTTTTGCCTTTCCAGAGTTCCATTGCACATTGTTGTGCCTTCAACATTTAAACCTAACCATGCACAGTTTTACGTTTCCAGAGTTCTAGTGCACATTGTCCCTTCTTCCACTGCACATTGTTGTGCCTTCAACCTTTAAACCCCACACACACACACACACACACACACACACACACACACACACATATATATATATATATATATATATGCACTGGAAGGCATAACAATGTCTACTGGAAGGTAAAAAGGTGCACTGTAAAACACTAAAATATGCAACAACTATTGAAGAGACTAAATTTAATACATGATCTTCAACACAAATCATAAGAGATCACAATATTCAACTAAAACTAGTAATTAGTGATTCATTCAAGATCAAATGCACTTTTTTCTTTTTCTTTTTTGAAAATAATATATATATATATATATATATATATATATATATATTATTTTCAAATGCGGTAATAGGCTTTCGGTAAAAGATGTGTTTAATCTCAGCCTCCTTGATCGAATCAAAATCAATAGCCAGATTGAACGCATATTGTGCGTCGGTATAAAGCTTTAGGTGCATAGTTTTCTTTTTTAAGGTATGTGGTTTTCCTTCTTAAGGTGCGTGGTTTGTGTGCTTGAGGTGCGTTAGTTGTTGAAACTTAAGTTGCATTGTTCTAAAGCTTTAGATGCATGATTTTCCTTCTTATGGTGCGTTGTTTTCCTTCTTATGGTGCGTTGTTTTCCTTCTTAAGGTGCGTCGGTCTAAAGGTTTAGGTGCATGGTTTTCCTTCTTAAGGTACTTTGTTTTCCATCTTAAGGTGCGGCTTTTTTTTTTTTTTTTTTTTACAGTTTGCTATAATTGAGGACGCGATTTTTATTTTATTTTATTTTATTTTTTTCAATCCCCAAACAAACCCCTATCCTTTTCCAATCATGTTTTAGTAATCAAAATAGAGATCAAAGGAAGTAAAAATTTAGGTTTTATTACTTATGAGTAGCAGATGTTATAACAACCACTACAAGAAAAATCGCACTAGAACCAACACACACACACTAATGTTCAATTGCATCCACTTGTTCCCGTGAGCCCCGTGAGACCCGCCCGGGCTTAGCTTAGTGATTAGTAAGCAGTATTTAGGAGAAGAGACCAAGGTTCGAATCTCGGCAGCTGCAGTGTTGGAATTATGCTCAAAGTAGGCAGATCCCTTGTGCGCACCGGTGAACCAATCACCGTAATTTACATCCTCTCAAATCCTCCTTTTTGGGAGAAGTCCCGTGAGACCGGTTCGTAAATGCATACAAGCTACTACATGCACACAATCTAGTTTGTGTGCATTCGTGTAGTAGTTTTTGTGCTTTTTCGAATGGTCTCACGAGACACACAAAAAGATGTGATCTCATTTGATTATTACTTGCACTATTACTTACACTTTTAACCCATGTTACTTGCATCAAAGTTCGAGTTATTTATAAAAATGTCATCCTGTTTTAAAAAAATAAAATAAATCTAATTCGTTAAATTTGGACAGGCGGCTGCGATTGGTTCTCAATTCTTTTTTAGTATCCGTTCTAAACTAATAAGGCCTCTATAAATAAATAAATAAACAAACAAATTGAATCCATTTAATTTGTTACATGCATATTATATATACTGAAATTAAAGTTGGCATATATGGGCGGTCGTGTGGGTGTCATATATGATATATGCATGCAGGCTAGCCCAAATAATACTAATCGACGACAGCTGCCGGACGGTCTCCTGCCGGAGCTTATGCCAAAACACATTGGATTCATTTTGGACGGTAACCGGCGGTGGGCCAAGGAGAAAGGGATGATGGTGGAGCTTGGTCACCAATTCGGAAGCAAAAAGGTCAAGCAACTCATTACTTTGTGTCACAACTGGGGAATCAAAGTTGTTTCTCTCTTCACCTTCTCCACCGAAAATTGGCTTCGCCCCAAGGTACTCCATATTATTTCTTATTCTCCTAAAATGTTGAATCACCAACCCCAAGGGCCAGAAAGAGCATTGAGAGAATATAAATTATAGTGGCTCACTGGCTCAAACGCTTAGTAGACAAGGCCAAATTTCGATGCCCACAAGGGATTTGTCCACTTTGATCGAGCATAATCCCCATACTGCTTGTCCAGGTTCAAACCTTGAGTTTTCTCTCAAATACTGCCTACAAAACCAACTAGTTAAGCCCGTGTGGACGGGTACTCCATATTATTGCATTGCGTGCTAATTGCTTTAAGAGTAATCATATACGGAGTATTAATTAATTATAGGGTACAATGTGATAATGCAGGAGGAGGTTGGGTTTTTGATGAGGCTGTTTAGAGAGGTGATTGATACAGAACTTGAGGAGTCCCGGAGGTATATATATATATAGTACAATAATATATACAAATTAAAGAATATATATAATGTAAAATAATATATACTTATAATAAATTGATTGATAGGGCCGGTCTACGAATATCATTCATAGGTGATAAGTCGAAGCTTCCCATATCTGTGCAAGAACTAGTGCAGGCAGCAGAGGAAGCCACCAAGGCCAATACAGATGTACATATTTTGGTAGCAATGAACTACAGTGGAAGATCTGATATATTGCAGGCATGCAAGAAAATTGCTAAGAAAGTGAAAGATGGAGAGCTGGAGATAGAAGACATAGAGAATGAAGGCATTTTTGATGGAGAACTGGAAACAAGCTGCGCTGAGTTCCCAAACCCAGATTTGCTTATTCGGACTAGCGGTGAGCTTAGGATTAGCAACTTCATGCTCTGGCAATTGGCTTATACAGAGCTCTTCTTCGTCGACAAGAACTTTCCCGACTTTCAAGAAGCTGATTTCCTTCAGGCTTTGCGTTCATTTCAGCAGAGACACAGACGTTTTGGTGGGCATAAATACTAGCATTATTCATTATATATATATATATATATATATATATATATATATATATATATATATATATATTGTGGAATACATAAGTTACTCTGAATTTTTTTTTTTTTTTTTGAGTACTATTGAATATTGATCCTGTTATAAGTAATATCCCTTTATATATACTTTTTTTAACCTACTAGAGGCCAAAGAGTCATAAGCTACTCGATCTAAGAGTTAATTTGTTACAACAACATATTTAAAATAATTGGAGAAACATAATAATAGACGAAGACTGGTAAGGATTGTTATGCCATGGACTCGTGTCCACCTGGTAAGGTGGACACAGGTCCAATACTAGATCGTTCTGTAATTGTGAATATAGATTTAAATAATTATGAATATGAAGTAATTATGAACCTAGTCTTTTTTTCTTTTTTTTTTTTTTTTTTTTTTTGTTGAAACTTAAACGATCGAAATGCATTAACTAATATCCAAGCTCAGAACCTGAGCAATGGAAGGGAAATGGGTCATGGAGAAGTCCATACAGCTAGACATAGACAGAGATTCCCGTGTTAACAAATGGGCAACCCTGTTCTGTGAGATCTAAATATGATCTAACTATATACAGAGAATAATCTACGAGAAACTTAACTCGTAGTAGCGGAAGCGGAAGCACTATAGATCTCCAGCCATGGTTGATATCCTGTTTGTATTGCCTCTTGGAACAGTAGATCTGCAGAATAGGGTTAGCCGTTTTGTCCCATACTTGACTCAGAACCCTAGATGGTGTACTGGTATTTTCTGAGCAGCATGAGTACTATAATGAATCATGTATCTTGTATCCCATCAATACAAGCTTTATATAGTCCACTTGCACCACATAAGTAAGACCCATAATATATAATATATATTATACGGGAAAGTCTTACATTCTCCCACTTGGTGCAAGTACTAGCAAACTCTCATCAAAGAACAAAACACACGAACCATAGTAATATGTCCTCTACTGAATAAGTGAGTAATATCTCCTATGATCACATGCATTTTGATACCCCAACTTGAATCCTTTATGAACAAACCCAATGTTTATTCTTAGTACCTTAAGGGATGTTTCTCAAAATAAAATATATATGCGCAACTTAAGAGAGAAAACCATCCAAATTGTACAAAAGATTACACTGCATGATATCTAATTCCTTAAAAGCATGCCTTAAGTAGAGATCTCTTAATGTTAGTATAATGCTAACTATATTCTATGACTTCTTTATAAGTTAACATACGCACTACCTCTAATGGCTAAGAGCTTGGAGTTGACACGTCTGTCAGTCCCACTCATCAAAATAGCCAAAAGATAGTCAAGTCACAGAAGCATTCCAATAACTTAGATAATAAACCAAAACTCTAAGTCCATAAATTTGGAATCTTAAACATACACCATAACTTCCCAAATAATTTTAAGGTCCACCTCAAAATGAACTGAACATTATGAGTCTTACTTTTATGTTTCTCAAAATTGTCTCGAGCCTTACAAACCAAAATGGCCCAGGATCAATTTTGAAGAAACTAAAGACTATTAAATGCTGAAGAATTTATTACTTAACAGTGCACCACAAGTTATATGTTTTGTTCTAATAAACTCCTCAATATTGTTACAACATTTTCATAAATATGTTGTTAAACCAATATGAATTTATATGAACAAATACAATATTAATACTTGTGGAATCTTTTAGACTTATTGTTTGACATACAATCCAATTTAGAATGTATGAAGCCTATTAAATCCAAAATCTTTAATGGAGTATCTTAACGATCTTTTTCTAAATGATCACTCCCACTGATTATGGAGTATCTTAATGATGCTTTTTTAAATGATCACTCCCACTGATTAAGATATTCTTTAGCAAAATTAATGATATACGTACTCATAATTGATTTGACCAACTAATTAATGAAGATATAATTCTCCACCATTAGTTGGGCATACTAAATAATCAATATATGATTCCAATTATAGTCCAACTAAAGAAATAACTAATGAGGACATGACTCCCCACCATAGTTGGACATTCTAAAATAATAAAATATACTTTCCAAAAAAAATTTAGAATTTGGCTCAAAAAGGTACATTTTATTCTTGGAATAGAGTTATATCAAATCACATAACTTACTACCGTTAGTCCGAAAACCGAGCAAGTTCCGTGGCTCAATTAATAAAGTGGCTAAATTTTGGGAAGTATCTAAATACATGTTTTGCCAATGCAAATCATGAAGCTTAGAATTCTAAGAAATTGTAATAAAATTGTATAAATTCTAAGAAATTGTAATAAAATTATTAATTATCTAGTGGGTTGAGGGATTTATTAACATAAAACTTGCCTGTGGGCTAAAGTTTTAATTATATTAAATCCAACTAAACCCTTATGATAATATTTTATCTCAATTACTAAATAGAGAGAAGAATCTAGTGACATAAAACTTGGGCAAATTATGCTATGCGCATGTGCGCACCTTGCAAGGTGCGCACGTCTCTAAAACGGCGTCGTTTTCAGGGAAAACGACGCTGTCTTAACTAAAAAAAAAATTTGTTCGAAAGGCCGTTAACGGCGTTAACATCGTATTCGTTATGAAATTATGAATGTACAGTTATGACATTATGAATGTACAGTTATAGAATTATGAATGTACAGTTATAGAATTATGAATGTACAGTTATGGAATTATGAACTTACAATTATGAACATAAAGCTTCGAAATTTATGAATGTACAGTATGGAATTATGAATATACAGTATGGAATTATGAATGTATAGTTATGAAATTATGAATGTACAGTTATGGAATTATGAATGTACAGTTATGGAATTATGAATGTACTGTTATGAAATTATGAACACAGAACTCTGACATTATGAACTTACAATTATGAACATAGAGCTTCGAAAATTATGAATTTATAGTTATTGAATTATGAATGTGCAGTTACAGAATTATGAATGTACAGTTACAGAATTATGAATGTACAGTTATGAAATTATGAACACAGAGCTGTGAATATATCTCCTATAACGAAGCGATCTGAAATTAAAAAAAAAGGAAGATAACGGTGCCACTGACGGCACCGTTACCGTGCTCATGATGCACGCTGGGCACGAGTCCACAACATAACGATTGTAAAACTTGCCTGTGGGCTAAAGTTTTACTCAATTAGATCCAACTGAAATTTTATGATGAAACAATTATCAAATAAGTTGAAGAATCAAGTGACATAAAACTTGCCTGTAGGCGCTAAAGTTTTACTCAATAAGATTCATTACAACTATTATGATAAAAACTTAAGAAATCATGTCCTTTCCTTAATCTATGTGGATAGATTAAGAAATATGATATAAATTTTACTTCATAAAATTAAACTTTGTGATAGAGATGAGAATTATTTACAAATAACTATAAAGTAAATAAAATTGATTTATTTCTATCATCACTGATAAAACTACTAAACTACATTCCGATACATAATTTCCTGTGGGCTAAATTATGACCGTAGTCCACTATTTCATCCTAATTAACTATACAAATATACGAAATTGTCTGTGGGCTAAATTCCATCATATTACATACAATTAATCACAAATGATATGTCCAAAACTGTATGTGATCAAGAAAAACTGCTTAATATATAATTTTAATTGATTAAGGATGCTGTGGCTACTCCCCAACTCATTAAAATTATAAGATCACTAGACAATTATCATTGCCATCTTTATGTGATTTGAACTTTGACAATTGTAGTAAATTGAAGATGTTGCATGTGGCTACTCTTTAATTAATCTAAAATTGTAATCACTTAGAAAACGGGAAATTAAAGCCTAACAAACAAATTAAACCAACACATAAAAGATAATTATTAGGTATACTCCCAGGAAAGTTGGTCGAGACGAAACGTTAAATACCAACTCCTTAGACAGAGTAGCGTTGCAAGGGGACTAGTAGCAACAAGGATTTTAAGCCAGGGCCATAGAACTAGTATTCCTCTCCAAGAAACTTCCCTAAGTCATGCGTTCTCATGTTTGAAGTAAAATCGTTTGGAAGATCTAAAGATTGTATATTCACATATGGGATAAGGCTTTAAATTGATGAACTAAATTAACGGACTAAACGTGCTTAAATTCACGCACTACCGCAACTAAAGTTTATACATAAGTCCAACTTAAATAGGAACTAATATAATTCTATCCTAAATTTATGCATTTCTAAAGGCATAATAAAAATTGCATAATTTAAAACATAATATTATGCTTAGGACAAACATGCATAAAAATTAAACATTAAACTCATATATTCCAAACAAATTGCATAACTTAAAGCAATTTTAAATATGAGATTTCAATCATCTTTGAAATTTTAAACTGTAAGCCCATGACAATATGTTTTAATGCATAAAGATCAAATTTATGAGAAATAACTGAATTCACAAATTATAACAATATCAAACCAAAAGGATATGTTGTCATTTGTAAATCAAAATCTCACAAAACGTAATTGCATAATTAAACTCAATATTATACACTTAATGTGATCAAATGCATAAAACAATCTAAATAGTATGAAATCATACATAACCAAATATGGGCAATAACATTAATCATAATTCAAAGACTAAATGAATTATGGAATAGATGTACAGTAATGGCAATAGTCAGTTGCCTAAAAAAAAAATCTTATATGAAGCATTGCCACATAAACATAATTGGAAACAATTCTGGATTCATAAATAAACCATAATAATAATGTTATCATTAAAATATTAATGGTAATAAATAACCTTATAATCACCATTAATATTTGTAATAACAACCAAAGTATGGTAATATACCTTCTTTAATGTTTTCATTTTTCTTAAGGAAATAAAATGTGGCAATTTCAAAATTATAGCAGTTAAACTATAACTATAACACTAATTACCAATAAATTAATGATGAAAACTTAATGACTAACCTTAATGATGCAAACCGCATCTCCCATAGTGCTAAAATTCTTCCATCTTCAGTCAGTCACCTCAATGCAACATCCAATGATACGTAACAATAGTCATCACCAAATAGGTAATCTTTCCAAACACAATAGATTACCAAACAATAATAATTATTATGAAAGGTAATAAATGAGATTGACCCAAAACTTAATAACAGTTATTAATATTGTCAATTATTAACTACAATAAAGGCAAAACTGTAATTAAAAGGATACTGAATGCCAATCTCATATCACCACATAATAATTAAACAAGACCATAATGTCTCTTTAGGGGGACTGAAATTAGGGTAATAATTAAATTACCATTGTTAAGCCAATATACCAACTATATTGCTTACTATATTATTAAAGGTATTAATATTATTATTAAGGCCCTGAAAACTATTGATAGATTAAAAAAAATATAATCAACTTAAACAATAGTTGTAATTTTTAATGACCAAAATAACAATTATAATCCTTAAATTCTTAATGGCTCATAAATAGACCCAAAATAATAATTATAGCACTTAATCATTCAAATTAGATTCATAAACTCAATGGTCCAAGTGAGTTGTGACATGGATATAAAATGGTCTAGTACTGAAATATATCCAAACTTAATAATTAATATTATTACCAATCAGGAATACCATTAACATAATATGGTAGTCAATAATAATTAAGACTTAGTGAACATGTTATGCGTAATAATCAATATTATTACCATAATAAACATGTTATAAGTCAAAATAAAATAGTTATAATTATTATTAAAACATCAATCAAAATGGTGGGATCCATACTTTAATGACCCAAGATAGGTCCCAAATAGCTTGTTCAAGATATGTTTTAAAGTCCCAAGTGAAATACAGGACTAAAATATTCTCAAAATTAAATGAGAAACCAAACAAGCTGTCTTAATAGACCATAATGTCAAATATTGGCCTACGGATCCTAAAAATTGAATGACATTTAATATAGAGACTATTAGTTAATAATATGTTAATCTAACTTTAATGCATGCTTTTATGAATGTACAATTATATTAAAATAATTTATGAATATACATAGCATGCTTGGATTTTTACATATTAATATATATTAACCCATAAATCCTAAATAAATTGCAATACTTCAGCAATTTAATATGCATCACAATATTAAATTAAAATTCACATAGCAAATTCAATACTTAATATTTGCTCAAAATTGAATAACAATTTAATTATGAATTTAATGTCAAAATTAAAAGAAAACTAAATGGCATCAATATTCCAAAACTAGCAATTACCATACATTTACCATTTGCCAAAATAATATACAATATTAATTAAGGTAATATTAATATGATAATATTAAATCAAATAAATACCATTTACCAAAATTAATATTAATATATAATATTAAATAAGGCAAATATTAATATGGTAAAAACATATTAATGATAAAATGGCAATTACCTTAATGACGCAAACTTATCTTAATGCACTTGCGTCTTCTTTAGAAATTCAACGTAATGAATTGGTAGCCATTCATCTACTGAAACAGAGAGTTGGCCATTCGATCTGCGCTGCCTGGAGAAGAATCGACAAGCTGGAGTCTGAACGAAGCTGCACGGAGAAGGAGCACCTCCGCTGCACAATAACTTCATGCAGCGCCAAACTGCTGCAATTCGTAGAATCCATGTAGCTTTGTTTCTCCAACAAGGGCGGTGCTACATGTAGTTCCCAATAGCACTTGTACAAACAATTCTCCATGGTGGTTCCCAAAATCGGTAAACAATTAAGCTCATAGTTTCATATATAATCAATATATATATATATATATATATGATGCTTGAAGATTCAAAATGAAATATATACACAACATAGTATACACATGTATACTGCTTAATGTTAGATTTGAATCCAGTATACAAATATATACGAACTCCATGTATATATAAAAATTAATGTTGATTAAGGCAAAACAATCAACTAGGCAGAGACTGATAAAGGCTCTGATACGAAATGTGAGATCTAAATATGATCTAACAACTATATACAGAGAATAATCTACGAGAAACTTAACTCGTAGTAGCGGAAGCGGAAGCACTATAGATCTCAAGCCATGGTTGATATCCTGTTTGTATTGCCTCTTGGAACAGTAGATCTGCAGAATAGGGTTAGCCGTTTTGTCCCATACTTGACTCAGAACCCTAGATGGTGTACTGGTATTTTCTGAGCAGCATGAGTACCATAATGAATCATGTATCTTGTATCCCATCAATACAAGCTTTATATAGGCACATTGGTGGAATAAGACTTAAACCTAAATGTCTAGTCCAACTAATTACTTAATGGGCCTAGTCCACTTGCACCACATAAGTAAGACCCATAATATATAATATATATTATACGGGAAAGTCTTACATGTTCGCGGACCGTTTAACAAACAAAAAGCTAATGTTATCAAAACCCCTAACTATTTCTTTAATATCATCAATAATGAGATCAAAAGAAGAGAAAGTATTATGTCCATGTATGATGCCATTAACATGCTCAAGGTAGTCACTCTCAACTTGGATGTTATCAAGGTGAGAATCTTTGATCCATGTCAATGCTTCGCGTTCGCCAATCGCCTTTGCTTCGTTTGGTATGAAAATACTTGGCCAAGGGAGACATCTGGCAGAAAGAAAATGACCGGTAGAGTCCCGAATGACATAACCAAATCCCATTTTCTTGTTGTTAGTGTCCAATGCCGCGTCAACATTGATTTTAAGCATACCAGTAGGAGGTTTTTTCCAGGTAGTAACCACATTTGTAATCATTGTATCAGCATAAGCATTCAGGTTAGCTAAAGACCATTCATTTAAGAAAATATTTGCAGATTGACAAACATAAGAGGCAGTGACAGTTTTGTGATTCTAGACTTCATCATTTCTGGCCTCCCAAATTTTCCAACAAGTAGAGATTATGCCACAAATATCATTATCATTCTTTGTAGTGAAAATAGACTCAAGCCAGTGAAGAAGATTGTTGCTAGAAACATAGTCGACACCACCAAACATATCCCAGCAGCTTCTCACGAAGGGGCATTGAACAAATATGTGAAAATAAGATTCTTCATCAATATTGCATAATTGGCAGACTCACGGAATGTCAACATGTTTTGCTCTCAGTCTATCACATGTGAGGAGGGATGAAGAGCAAAGCTGCCAGAAAAATGTTTTTATCTTGGGAGGGAGATTAAAAATCTAGAACCTAGTCCAGAATGGTGCCTAATTGGAATCAAGATCATCTTTGAGGGGTTTGTAGCAGCTTCGAACCGTGTATTTTCCTTTCTCATCTTCCATCCAAATAATTTTATCGTTGAGCCTTGTGTTAGATAGAGGGATGTTTGTGATAAGGTTCCTGTCTTCTTGATTGAAAAGGGAAGTGATGAGGGGAATATTCCATGAAGAACCTACTGGATGAATAAGGGCAGCAACTTTGGAATCACCAAAATCAGTAGAGATTGGAGATTGAATGTAAGGATGGTGTTTATTTGGGAGCCAATGATCAGTCCAAATTCTAATTGACTCACCATTCCCCACTCTCCACCTAAAACCGCTTTGACGAATAGGTTGAACTTCATGAATGCTACGCCAAACGAAAGAAGGATTGCTACCAAGTTGAGCTTCCAAAAAAGTGCAGTTAGGATAATATTTAGCCTTATATGTTCTGGAAAGAAGGGAGCTCGAGTGATCAATAAGGCGCCAAGCTTGTTTTTCCAGCATAGCAAGATTAAATTCCCGTATCTTTCTAAAGCCCATACCACCCCAATGTTTAGAGATACTTAATTTATCCCAGCCTTTCCATCTTATACCCTTGTGATTTTCACCAACGCCACCCCACCAAAAGTTGTTCATGATCTTTTCAATGTCCTTACCCATTTCAATTGGAAGGAGGAAAACACTCATCGCAAAGGAAGGGATGGCCTGAATAACATTCTTTAGAAGGGAGACCAAGGTAATTTGATAAACCCAAGGATTTCACGTTTGTTCCTCTCAATTAGTGAAGGGAGACCAAGGTAATTTGCATTCAAAGTGCCATCTCTCATGCCCATTATATTGCAAAAATCATTCTTAGCCATCACAGTGGTATTTTTACTGAAGGTGAGGGTTGATTTGTTGAAGTTCACAATTTGACCCGAAGAATTGGCAAAGTATTCAATGGTATTTTTTAGGACTGTGGCTTCAGAGTTGATGGCTCTAAAAAAAATGTAATAGTCATCGGCAAAGAATAGGTTAGTGATAGTGGGAGCTCCTCTAGCAATTGTAATGCCGTGGAGGGAACCATTTCTTTGTGCATTTTGAAGCATTAGGTGGAAGATTTCAAGGACAAGGATAAATAATATGGTGATAGGGGATCTCCTTGTCTCAGACCTCTTTTGGGAGTAACAAAACCAATAACTCCTCCTTCCAACAGGATATTATAGTTGACTGTGCAGATCATTTGGCGAATCATGTTGACAATGTGACTCGAGAAGCCCAGGTTGGATAAAGCTGCAAGAAGGAAACCCCAATTAACCTTATCAAAAGCTTTACTCATGCCCAATTTCACTCCCACAAATCCCAACTTTCCTTGGTTTTTCCTTTTCAGATAATGGTTGATTTCATAGGCTAACATGATATTATCTGAGATCAAGCGGCCCGGGACTAAAGCGGATTGGGATTCAGACACAATAGAAGTGAGGAGAGACTTAATACGGTTTGCAAGAATCTTTGAAAGCAACTTGTACAATGTGTTGCATAGAGCAATCGACCTAAGGTCATTCATACACTCAGGTTTGGATTTTTTTTGGGTATGAGCACAATATCTGTTGAATTGAGGTTAGGTGGAAGGTGCCCCATTTTGAAGAAGTCCGAGCATAATTCTAGGAGATCTTTATCAAGAATGTCCCAAAAGTGTTGGTAAAATCCCGGGTTTAAACCATCGGGGCCAGGGGATTTTTCAAGTTTCATGTCAAATAGGGCAGCTTTAACTTCTTGAGAGTAACATTTTTGCACAGAGTTGTATTTTCAATAACAGTGATAATAGGAGTAATGCAATCAATCACATAATTCATATTACCCACATTAGAACTGAAGAGATCATGATAATATGATGTAATTAAGGAGTCCAGTTGGGTGACTCTTTCAATCCAAGTTCCTTCATTATTTTTGAGTTTCATGATACAGTTTGCTTGTTGTTTTCGTCTAATAACTTTGTGGAAGAAGCTAGAATTTGTATCACCATCACGTAACCAGAACTGCTTAGCTCGTTGCCTCCAATAGTTGTTTTGGTGTTGAAGGAACCGTAGGTACTATGACTGTGTTTATTTAAATCGAGAAATTCTAGATTGGTCTCGTCTGTGTTTCAATGTGACCATTTTCTTGCTTCAGTAGTCAAGCCGACGTTGGAAATTTCTAGTGAACTATTTTCCCCAAATCCAAATGGCCTTGCTGCATCTCCCAACTCTACTAATTAGATTTTGACCATACGTAGAAGACCAAGTCTGAAGCATAATCTCTCTACAGTGTGCTGAGCAGCAAGTTCTCGAAACGGAAACTAGCTCTATGGTTAGGAATTACTGGTGGGAGAATTTGAAGATGAAGAGGCATGTGGTCACCTTTGGCAGTGGTGATCGATGAAGCTTTAGCATTAGGGAATAGGTCACACCATGTGGCTGTCACCAAAATCCTGTCAAGTTTTGCCTCCAAGAGGGGTGCCTTTTGAACGCTCCCAAGTGAATTGGTAGCATCAAAGTTGAAATCCTTTAACCTGCTAGTTTCGACCGCTTCACGGAAACCAACTATGAGTCTCATTGGTTGCGGGTTGCCTCCACGCTTCTCGTTTGAGTTCAAGATGTCATTGAAATCCCCCATGACTGACCAGGGTAGGAGACTAGGGGTGGCTAAGTGTTTGAGAAGGGAACACAATTCAGCACTGTAACACCCCATTTTTTCTAAACTTTAGAGCCAAGATTAAAGCAGTCTAAAAGATAAAAGCAAAGAAAATAAATATAAACTAGGATATATAAAAATCCAAAGGTCAACATACTAGAGAGTGTTACCACCACAGTTACCCACCCTTGAGTAACTGCACAGGCTAAGTCTACAATCATAACAGAGTCATAGCTCAAAACATCATCATCAAGGAGCATACGAACCCCAGTGTGTACGCACCAATCAAAAGGAAGTAGTTTAGCGATATCAGGGTCTACAATAATCACCAAAAGATAGGAAGGATAACTAAGGCTAGCATCTATTAAGTCCTAGAGCTACACACTACTACTATAAATGTGCGCTCTTGTCATGCATTAAGTCTGTAACACCCCCGATTTCCATACCAATTTAAAACTTAATCATGCAGATAATCTAACCATAAAGAGCATACACAGCGGAAGTCTAGATATGAGATAGATGGAAAACATAGAGTGTTATGCCACGTCCACGCTATGGTGAACGCATAGGCGTAAACAACATCAACATAATCTGTCTACATAGGACAAGGTCAAACAACAAGAAGTCTAAAGTCCAACATAGGCACACAGGCCAAAACAACTACAAGGTCAGAGGGATCTATGCTATTCACCACTAGACCGTGTTCTCCTCTACTCGGAACCTGAAAGAAACACATAAATATATGGGACAACGCCCAGTCAGCGAATGATGCTGGTAACCCACCAATACATGTGAAATATCATACGTAGATAGTTTATATATACAAAATCATTTGCGAAACGGAATATAGTATATATAAGTTCAAAGCCGAGAGTAGAAGTCAATCACAAAACTCAATACACTCACAACGAAGACAAGGGAACACATCCCAAGACCACAAGAAGTACAACGACACACAAGAACGGCTCAAGATGTATTCTACCATCGCTCAGTAGAATAACACCCGACATGCATAGCACAAGAGAATAAGAGACACACAATGGCAACACATGCCTTCACGACATCACTCGTCACGAATAGAGAATTACACAACGACAACACTTGCCTTCGTGACATCACCCATCACGAATTGATATGCCTTCCTTATGCCCGGTTCCAACCTTATGGCTACCCCCAACCTTATGTCTAGTTCCAACCTTTACCTCCAGGACCCCTGTACACCAAGTCCAACCTTATTCCTCCGAGGACCGTCGTTCCCACTCCGACAATCTCCAACATGACCATCGATTTCATAGTACACGAGGGTACCGATCACACACACAGCAACACTTGCCTCCCAAGAAACGTGAACCCATCACTCAGGTCACAAACTCCATAATCGCGTCATGGCCACCACGAGGACCACTGCCGTACCTTAGTGACTAATGTCCCATACCATTAATCGTGCAATCCAGGTACAGCCACACACACCACACCACAATAGGAATAAATCAACGAATCACAACGAAGATATGAAACCATACTCAACAAGGAAAGGATCACAATTCGACAACAACGATGATCAACATAAGTCATCATCCACAATAGGAAAGAACAAACCACACACGCTAGCATTTAAACACCGAACTAGCATGCTTATCAAACGGGTAAACCAAACATCGTTCCGAAGAACACACTAGACTCATCATGGTTCAACGAATCACAAGGTTGAACACTTAGCACGATTCAAGACACCAAAACCTACACGGAATCCTACCATATAGTTCTAGACATACGAAACATCAAGAAGGCACTCAAATAGTTCCACAAAAGAACATCGGGAAGTCAAAAGACCAAATACCGAGTCAAAAGAATCACGGGGAACAAATCCTCGCACAAGCCACATTTGTCCCCCGCGGGTGGGGCCACGGGTGGACCCCCACCCGTGGTTCCGCCCACGGGAACACACTCCCACACACCACGTACCTCGCGGGTGGGGCGGTGGGTGGACGCCTACCCACCGTTCCGCCCGCGGGTACAACTCCTGTACCAAAATTAACTCCAAGCTCAAATTCAAGTCCAAAACATGCCAAATCTCACCAAATACAACAAAATGACTTGAATCAAAGGAATTGCCAAGCAATGGCATACATGAACCCTAATAACAAGCTCTAGATATGCATTTTCACAAGACAATGCATAAACACTCACATTTCATAGCAAAATCATATGTAGAATCCATTAAATCATCATATAGGTAAGCAAAATAGATTTTGTAGAGCATGGGTTACCTCTTGTAGACAAAAACCTTCACTTAACACTTCTCAAAGCCCCTAACAAGGTTCACCTTCCACACCCACTTCAAAAACACACCAAAAGATCATAAAGATTTCATCTTTAAGAAAAGACACATTAGAAAACACTAAAAACACAAAAGGAACATAGATCTTACCCTCCTAGATGCTCAAAGGTAGGAAAGGTGGAATCTTGGAGACAAACTTTGAAGATCTTGGAAAGTCTAAATTTGGCTTGGAGAGAAAGCTAGCTAGGTTTTTAGAGAGAAGGAATAGCTTTTTGCTTTGAAAGTGTAAGGATAGAAATGAAAGATATGTTCTAGGTTAGCTTGGAATACAATCATAAGGTCTTCTTTGCCCTTACTAAGATGAGAAAGTGTAAGGGAAAAACTGAACAAGGGAACTATTGTAACACCCCAGATTTTCAAGACATTTAAAACTTATAATAAAGGTAGAATCTTATTAAATCCCAAGATATAAATACAAGCGTTCGGGGTGCTATGCCACACCTGGGCTAGAGAACCCAAGTGCACAGGCTAACTAACTAATATCCTCAAAGTGTAAATACGTAAATGTGGCACGCAGGCCAAAAAGGGAAACTATCTATTTCTAAGTTCTAGCGCACTCCAGTGACTTAATCTTCTGTACCTGAAAGCCAAATATATCTGTTCAGCGAGAGATGCTGGTAACCCACTCCAACGCGTTGAAATACAATACATATAGAGATATATATAGATATACGAAAACCATTTTGAGCATGAAGATATATCCTACGAACTCTAGCTTTAAAAACCAGGAATGACTCGACAGATAAGGCCAGACACAAGCAACAGTTATAACGAGCATATGCAGTTCACAACAGATAAGGCAGATAAGGCAAAGCATAAACAATGATCATAACCCAACATGAACAATCCCCAATATAAATCCCATAGTCACATCCCCCAAGACACTCGTAATCACGACTTGTCCATGTCACAACACATAACACACTTTGTTGGCGCCACCCAATCGCATGCCCATACATGAGGGTCAGCGCATATAGCTCTGACACGGCCCCGCAACACCCTGCCCCGTATCGCAACACGGAGGGGTCGATCGCAATCGACCGATGAACCACAGCTCATCATAGTGTTTGATCGCAACCAAACAGTGGACCGCAGCCCAAGAGAATGTCATCTGACCGCAGCCAGGAAAAAGGACGAACCGCAGCTCGTATAGAAACGTTTGATCGCAACCAAACGGTGGACCGCAGCCCAAGAATATCAATCTGACCGCAGCCAGCTTCTGAACCGCAGTTTAGGATAACCAATCCGATCGAAACCGAATTGGGGTAACACACACACATAACACATAGCAAGCACATGCAACCCACATTACACATTAGGAAGGGGGAGAAAACGTATAACAAAACCTATGCGTGATCCATCACATACTAAGAATAGTCCTAAGGGATTCATACTTCTACCACCTAGGTCAACGGGGTACCAATTCAACTAGCATGCAATATATTAGACTCATAAACCTACGAACGGTACCCGAAACATCAAACTAGACATAGGCACGATAAACGGAGTCCGTTGGGACACCACGGGGAACGGGGGAACATCAAACGGGGAAGCCGGGATCCCAAGGTGGGATAATTTCCAGCGGGTAGCCGGTGGGTGGGGGGCCACCCGCCGGACTTTACTGTTCCGGGCAGCGGGTCGCCGGCGGGCAGCTGCCCGCCCGCCGGCCACCCGCTGCCGGGCGGTGTTTCACGGCCGTGGGTAGGTGGCGGGTCCCCTACCCCCCACCTACCCCCCACTGACTCTTTTCACACACTTTACGCCCCGGGAACCGTTGTGGAACCCGAAACCATGCTTAGACACTTTACAACGCAATTAACGACAACACGTAGACAATTAACGAATCGAATACAATAAACGAACGGCACATAACCTATCATGCTTTTCTAAATATAATCAACACCCAAACATGCGATTTCCCCACCCGATAATCCAAGAATAAGATCATACGATACAACCTAGGGTTCTAATCACTTTTATATCAACAAGAATACGGTTCGTCTTCTAATTGCAAGATTCGGTAAGAATAACACATAAACATCAAGAGCATCACACAATTATCAAGAACAACACATAATCATCAAGAACTCCATATAATCATCAAGAATCTCCCAATATCAAGATTATCAAGATCCCCCATGGGATCATCACATCAATTACCAATAATAATCATCATAACTTGCCAATATGCAATAATATGGGGAAACCCTAAGGGGGAATTATAACTATGAAAATAGGTTTTGTTGAGACATGGGTTACCTCTTAGCCTTAATTAATTCCTTGGCTATGAAGGGTCTTTCTTTAAGCTTTCTTGCTTTCTTGATTTCTTCTACGGGGATTCTTGGAGCTCTTTTGGGGTGGTGGGGCGTTATTCTTGTGGGGAGGTTCTAGGTGCCTCTTAAGTCCCCTATTTATATATTTAGGAGTCCTAATTAGGAACTAATATTATAGGCTTGCTAATTCTATTCCTTTTGGAACTAAGGATTGGGTTTAGGGGTTGGGTTTATATATGAGGGCCCACGGGCTATGGTGGGCCTTTTTCCCTAATTAATCATTATAATTTATTCTTTCTCTTCGGCTATTGATTAATTAACTAAGTGGTTTTAGAACTCGTAACACGGGGTGTTACACTCTCCCCCCCTTAACAGGAAGCTTCGTCCCTGAAGCTTGGCCCTTGGTGAAAGGTTTTCTTTTAGTTACCTGGTGTAAAAAGCTCGGGATACCGCTCCTTCATTGTGTCCTTAAGTTCCCATGTTGCTTCCTCGGTCCCGTGGTTGGTCCAGAGGACTTTCACCATTTCTATGGCTCGGTTCCGGGTGTTTCTTGTCTTGGTGTCCAGGATTCTTACGGGTTTCTCTTCGTATACTAGTGACTCGTCGAGGTCTACGACCTCGGGTTGGAGTACGTGGCTTGGGTCGTGTATGTATTTCTTTAGCTGAGATACGTGGAACACGTTGTGTACCCGTTCTAGTTCGATGGGTAAGGCGAGGCGGTAGGCCAAATCCCCGATTTTCTCTACGACTTCGTAAGGGCCGATGAATCGGGGGCTGAGTTTTCCTTTTCTTCCGAACCTCATTACTCCTTGTGTGGGAGAGATCCTTAGCCAGACCTTGTCCCCGAGGTTGAATTCGGCTTGTTTCCGCTTTAGGTCGGCGTAAGACTTCTGGCGGTCTTGGGCGGCCTTCATCCTTTCCTGGATGTGTTTGACTTTAGCTATGGTGTCTTGGAGGTATTGGGGGCCCAGTGTTACCGGGTTGACCATATCTTCCCAACATAAGGGGGTTCTACATTTCTGACCATATAGTGCTTCGTAGGGTGCCATGCGAATGCTCGCGTGGTAGCTGTTGTTATATGAGAACTCGATGAGGTCTAGGTGCTCCTCCCATGTCCCTTGGAAGTCTAGCGTGCAGGCTCTTAGCATGTCCTCGAGGGTTTGGATGGTTCTCTCGGTTTGGCCGTCTGTGGTGGGGTGAAAGGCTGTGCTTAGTTTTAGTTGCGTCCCCAGCGCCGATTGTAGCGATTTCCAGAATTGCGAGAGGAACCTGGAATCTCTATCGGACACAATGTTTCGGGGGACTCCGTGGTATTTCACTACCTGGTTTATGTAGGCTTGGGCTAGTTGCGTCATTGTCCATGTTTCCTTCATGGCAATGAATTGTGCTGTTTTGGTCAGCCGATCCACTATGACCCAGATTTTGTCCTTGCCGGTTCTCGTTGGGGGTAACCCTCCGACGAAGTCCATGGATATGGAATCCCATTTTCCTTGTGGTATTTCAAGGGGTTGTACGAGCCCCTTGGGCTTGCATCGTTCAGCTTTTACTTTTTGGCAATTTAGGCACCTGGCCACGAAGTCCGCGATTTCCTTCTTCATGCTTGGCCACCAAAACATCCTCCTTACGTCTTGGTATAACTTGTCACCTCCTGGGTGAACTGAGTACGGGGAGTTGTGCCCATCCTCCAAGATCCGTTGTTTCAAGTGAGGGTGCGTTGAGGGTACACACCACCTTCCTTTGTAACGGAGACTGCCGTCCGGGCGTGCTTCGAAGGGGCCTTCCTTCCCTTTGGTTAGGTCGTGGCGAATCTTATCTAGTTCCGGGTCCTGATGTTGCCCTGCCTTGATTTCCTCGAAGAGGGCGGGTATGGCTTGCGTGTTGAGTAGGTAGGCATTGGGGCGGGTTTGTCCTTGCTCTATTATTTCTAAGTGTAGTTTTTGGAAGTCCCTGTACAGTTGGTCCGGTAGGACCCACGTGGTGTTGAGGGAATGGTTCATCTTTTGGCTTAGGGCGTCCGCAACGACGTTGGCTTTTCCCTCGTGGTATTGGATGTCTAGGTCGTAGTCTTTTATGAGTTCTAGCCACCTTCGTTGTCTCATGTTTAGGTCCTTTTGGGTGAAGATGTACTTTTAGCTTTTATGGTCGGTGTAGATTTTGCATTGTACCCCATACAGGTAGTGCCTCCAGATTTTTAGTGCGAATATGATAGCAGCTAGTTCGAGGTCATGGATGGGGTAATTCTCTTCGTGGGTTTTGAGTTGCCTGGATGCGTACGCTATTACCTTTCCCTTTTGCATCAGCACGCATCCCAACCCTTTCTTGGATGCGTCACTGTAGACCTCGAATCCTTCCGTTCTGGAGGGGATGGCTAGTACGGGTGCCGTGGTTAGCTTGTCCTTTAATTCTTGGAAGGCTGAGGTGCAGTCGCTGTCCCATCGGAAGGGGGTTTCCTTTTTCATGAGCTTAATGAGGGGTTGGGCTATCTTGGTGAAGTCGGGTACAAACCTCCTGTAATAACCTGCCAGGCCCAGGAAGCTTCGGACTTCCGAGAGTGAGCTCGGCGTGGTCCATTCTCTAATGGCGCGAATCTTAGCGGGGTCCACCCTGATCCCCTCTTTGGTTATCACGTGGCCCAAGAAGGCTACGCTGTCTTGCCAGAATTCGCACTTGGAGAATTTAGCGTAAAGTTGGTTTTCTCTGAGGGTTTGCAATGATATGCGAAGGTGTTTCTCATGTTCTTCTTTGTTTCGGGAGTAGACTAGGATGTCGTCAATGAACACAATGACGAAGTCATCCAGGTGAGGTCGGAATACTCGATTCATGAGGTCCATGAATATGGCGGGCGCGTTAGTGAGGCCGAAGGGCATCACGGTAAACTCGTAGTGGCCGTAACGTGTCCGGAAGGCCGTTTTCTGGATGTCCGGTTTGGCCACTTGGATTTGATGATACCCGGATCTTAGGTCGATCTTTGAGAATACCCCTGCCCCTTTAAGTTGGTCGAATAAGTCATCTATTCGGGGAAGGGGGTACCTATTCTTTATTGTAACTTGGTTGAGTTCCCTGTAGTCGATGCACAGGCGCATGCTTCCATCCTTTTTCTTAACGAATAGTACCGGTGCTCCCCATGGGGAGGTGCTGGGTCGGATGTAACCCTTATCTAGCAGTTCTTGGAGTTGCGTTTTCAGTTCCTTCATTTCCTTTGGTGCTAGTCTGTAGGGTGGTTTAGAGATTGGGGCGGCGCCCGGTATGAGGTCTATGGTGAACTCGACCTCTCTGGCCGGGGTGCCCCGGGAATTTCGTCTGGGAAGACGTCGGTGAACTCGTTTACCACTAGGATGGCTCGTGGTTCGAGTATTTTGGCGTTGAGGTCTTCGACTGAGTATAAGAAGGCCTCGTTTCCTTGGCCCAGATACTTCTTAATTTTCATCATGTTTACAAGTTTGATCTCCGGATCCTGGCGGGTATCGCGGTATGACACCCTCTTACCGTTTGGTCCTCGTAGGACCACTTTCTGCTCTCCGCACAGGATTTGCGCTTGGAATTTTCCTAGCCAGTCCATGCCCAAGATTACTTGCATCCCATCTAGTTGGAACTGGATTAGGTTGCTGGGAAATTCCACTCCTTGAATGGTGATCATTACATGCTCGTACATGCGATCACATTTTATGATCTCGCCCGAGGCCACCTTGACTTGGAGTCGGACTTTGGTGCTGGCGTTAAGGCCGAGCTGGGCGGCGAACTTGGTTGCTATAAATGAGTTGGTAGCCCCCGAGTCAAATAGTATGGTGGCTGGGGTGGCGTGCACTAGGAAAGTTCCGGAGACTATGTTGCTTTCTCCGTTCCTGGCTTTGCTTAGGGTAAGGATCCTTCCCCGGGCAGTCAGCGTGATGGCCTGGTCAAGTGAGGTGGTTTTGGGGTTCTTAGGCTCTTTGGTGGGAATTGGGTGACTTCTTTCGGGCTTCCTTTTATACCCCAGTTGCGTCCCTTGGGGCGGGTTCGTTACCTGTTGTAGTTGGCATGCCTTGGCGTAGGCTTCTCCGAGGGTCTTTGGTTCTTGGGCGGCCAAGGCCCTCTGGTGTTCGGGGTTAAGGCCTGCTAAGAATTTCATGACTTTGATCCCCTCGGTGGATACTAGTTCGGGGGTGAGGCGAGTCAGTTGGCAGAATCATTGGTAGTATTCTGAGACTGGGGCTGCCCCTTGTCTTAGATGGAGGAATTCCTCGCATGTGGCGGCTTTCAGGTGGTTGGGGTAGAACTGTTCTCGTAACCGTGTTTTTAGGCCTTCCCAGTTGAATCTGGGGTCTTGTTCGTACGTAGGTCCCTCATGTGCCCACCAGATGTCGGCCTCGTGTCTGAAGTAGAAGGAGGCTATCCCGACTTGGTGGTGTTCGGGGCATTGGGTTGCCCTGAATACCCTGTCAAAGGTCTCAATCCATTCTTCGAGGGTCGTGGGGTCTTCGTCTCCCGAGAAGGTGGGTGGTTGGTGCCGAGACTTGGTGGTGGATCTCCAAGTTCTCGTTTGTTGGTAGAGGTTGGGGAATGACAGTACTTAGTGCCTGGGTGATTTGGGCCAGACGTTGTAGATTCTGGGTCAGGAATTCCTGAGTAGGGCGTCCCGGTGTTCCTGTCTGTTTCTTCTTGGGTGCCATCCTGGTGGTTAAAGGTTGATATTATTTTGTGTTTTCACCTTGATGTAATAAGCGGAGGAGAGTTTCTTTATATTAGAGAGGGATGAAGTGAGGGGAGGTGATGTGTAGGTTTCTCAATCTCACCGTGCGTCCTAAGATCCCTAAGACCTATGTTCCTAAGTACCTGGAGTTCAAGCCTAATGTCCTAAGGTCCGGTCTTTAAGAGTCTTTTCCTAGGGTCAAACTTAGGCTTTGATACCAACTGTAACACCCCAGATTTTCAAGACATTTAAAACTTATAATAAAGGTAGAATCTTATTAAATCCCAAGATATAAATACAAGCGTTCGGGGTGCTTTGCCACACCTGGGCTAGAGAACCCAAGTGCACAGGCTAACTAACTAATATCCTCAAAGCGTAAATACGTAAATGTGGCACGCAGGCCAAAAAGGGAAACTATCTATTTCTAAGTTCTAGCGCACTCCAGTGACTTAATCTTCTGTACCTGAAAGCCAAATATATCTGTTCAGCGAGAGATGCTGGTAACCCACTCCAACGCGTTGAAATACAATACATATAGAGATATATATAGATATACGAAAACCATTTTGAGCATGAAGATATATCCTACGAACTCTAGCTTTAAAAACCGGGAATGACTCGACAGACAAGGCCAGACACAAGCAACAGTTATAACGAGCATATGCAGTTCACAACAGATAAGGCAGATAAGGCAAAGCATAAACAATGATCATAACCCAACATGAACAATCTCCAATTTAAATCCCATAGTCACATCCCCCAAGACACTCGTAATCACGACTCGTCCATGTCACAACACATAACACACTTTGTTGGCGCCACAGGACCAGTCGCATGCCCATACATGAGGGTCAGCGCATATAGCTCTGACACGGCCCCGCAGCACCCTGCCCCGTATCGCAACACGGAGGGGTCGATCGCAATTCACGGCCGTGGGTAGGTGGCGGGTCCCCTACCCCCCACCTACCCCCCACTGACTCTTTTCACACACTTTACGCCCCGGGAACCGTTGTGGAACCCGAAACCATGCTTAGACACTTTACAACGCAATTAACGACAACACGTAGACAATTAACGAATCGAATACAAGAAACAAACGGCACATAACCTATCATGCTTTTCTAAATATAATCAACACCCAAACATGCGATTTCCCCACCCGATAATCCAAGAATAAGATCATACGATACAACCTAGGGTTCTAATCACTTTTATATCAACAAGAATACGGTTCGTCTTCTAATTGCAAGATTCGGTAAGAATAACACATAAACATCAAGAGCATCACACAATTATCAAGAACAACACATAATCATCAAGAACTCCATATAATCATCAAGAATCTCCCAATATCAAGATTATCAAGATCCCCCATGGGATCATCACATCAATTACCAATAATAATCATCATAACTTGCCAATATGCAATAATATGGGGAAACCCTAAGGGGGAATTATAACTATGAAAATAGGTTTTGTTGAGACATGGGTTACCTCTTAGCCTTAATTAATTTCTTGGCTATGAAGGGTCTTTCTTTAAGCTTTCTTGCTTTCTTGATTTCTTCTACGGGGATTCTTGGAGCTCTTTTGGGGTGGTGGGGCGTTATTCTTGTGGGGAGGTTCTAGGTGCCTCTTAAGTCCCCTATTTATATATTTAGGAGTCCTAATTAGGAACTAATATTACAGGCTTGCTAATTCTATTCCTTTTGGAACTAAGGATTGGGTTTAGGGGTTGGGTTTATATATGAGGGCCCACGGGCTATGGTGGGCCTTTTTCCCTAATTAATCATTATAATTTATTCTTTCTCTTGGGCTATTGATTAATTAACTAATTGGTTTTAGGACTCGTAACACGGGGTGTTACAACTATTCACAAAGCTTAAGGTACAACATCTTGACTTGGGTTGACTAGTCAATTACTAGTCCCCGACTATTAAATTTTCAGGAATTTAAGGAATTAAATTACCAATTGGATTAGGATTAATTACTTAATTAATCCCTAAATAGAATCTGGATTACGGGGTTTCACAAAGTCCACCTAAAAGGGGTTATAAAAACGCATAGGAAAATAAACCCGTTAGCATAAAAATGCTAAGTATAAAGCCACTCAACCCTGTAACATAAATATATATATAGAATTTGGAAAACGGTTGACATTCAAATACAACGAGTATACACATAGGCAATAAGGCAATCCAACAATAAATCCTAAGTAAGGATACTATATACATATAAGCAAGTATACTCATCAACAAATGCAATATCAACATTCTTCTAAGATAGATAATACGCAAGAGATTCAAGTGTCAAGTAGGAACATACTATCATACTAGTACTCACAAACATTATAACATACTTTCCTACTCATGTACTCATCACAAGGCATATACTATGCAATAATGAAAATCCATATAATAGATGCAATAATATATATATATATATATATATATATATATATATATATATATATATATATATATATATATATATATATATGTATACTCATACTCTCGATAATAATAATAATACTTTTCTGCGGAGGACTTCTATCATATCTCATGATTATCTTTTCTCTTCTTTCTTTCAAATCTGGGTCTGTGAGGCAGGTACTCTGCCACGTCGAAGCCCTAGCGAATGGTGCTTCCCACACAACCGCCACATCCGTACCTACGGAACCTCGACTCGTAGGGAGGTAGGAACTTCACGAATCATGAACGGACCTATCCGGGCTAGCAAACATCGGCCGGCCTAATACTTATCTCGCCCACAGAACCGGTACTTGGGGTTCTTAATCTCTGTGGAATCAGGTATCGTACTTTCAGTGTGCACACCCCCTAATTTTACCTTCCAAACCCGAATTGATTATTTAATTAATTCTTAGTTGCCCCATCATTATTTCAACGATTCCTGTTAAAGAGTGGTTAAAAGGATTTAATTTGACCCAAATCCTCTAATTTATTGATGTGTTCCATGGTGGACCGTGGACCTTTGTCTATAATAAAGCCTTTGAGCCTGTTAGATTAAACAAGGAGGGCCCATCTACCTTTCAGATTCTAATTGAGAATCCTAAACATATTTAAAGGAGTTAGAAAGCATTTAGAACCATTTCATCTAACCCTATTCCCTCATACTCGAAAATCCCTCCCGAAACCTAGTCAAAGAATTCCCCATCTTTTCCATCGTCAAAGGCTACCAAGTTTAGGTCTTTTCCCCCATCACCAAGCTTAGGAGAGCTCACGTGAAGGGGAGACCTTGAAGAAGAATCTTAGGATTTGCGGGGAGTTTAATTAAGCTAAAAAGGTAACCCATGTCTTACAAAACCTATTTTCTTTGCTATAGTATGATTTATTGGTATCTTTGAATGATGGAATGCGTTATCTTGTGATTACGCCTTGATAGAGCTTGTATTGTGAATTCTTGATATTCTTGATGTTCTTGAGTGATTATATGCATATTCTTGCGTTTATGCATGTTTAGGGCTTGTGGTTAGGGTTTAATAATGTTATTCCTAGGGTTATTCTATGTACTAAAGTCACTATTATTATTGATGTGAGTTTTGATGTGTTTGGACTTGAATTTGGGCAAGATTGATGAATTCCCGAAGTGGGGAAATTTGCCACAGGTTTGGTACCAGCGGGTAGTCGGTGGGGTGATGAACCCCCACCCGGCCACCCGCCGGTCAGTGGGTAACGTTCCAGCGGGCGGCTGGCGGGTGGACGACCACCCGCCGTTCCACCCGCTGGAACATGGTGGTCCACCGGTGGGTAGTATGGCAGGTGGTTCTCCACCCGCTGGTACGACCAATGTGGTGGTTCGTCGGCCTCCGTTTGGTCGATCCTCGTGCCCCGAAGTGTCTTCTTTGATGTTTTGTGAGTCTAGAATGATATCCTAAGTGCCATAATAGGATTTGTGAGTCTTGAATTATGCATGTGGTCTAAACTTGTATCCCATTGGTTCAAAGTATGGTTTATGATGTTCCTTATGGGTTTTATGGTCGTCTTTGTAACAACCCCGATTTTACCACATTTTTAAAACTTAAATTCAAGGGAAAACAATCTAATCATCAAGACATAAAGCAAGAAGAAGCTATATAAAATTGGTTAGCGTTATGCCACACCTATTTCAAACATAGGTGCACAAGCGGGAAAACTAACAAGTCAACAAAACAAAAAACATCTAGCCACACAGGCCGCTAAACTAGGCTCACAGGCCAACAAAAGGTAACGTCTAAACATGGAAACTACTCTATCTAGCATCCACATCTAGCGCGCTCGGCATCTATTCAAAACCTATAAAACATGGGGATAACACCCGGTCAGCGAACATTGCTGGTAACCCATCATTACGCGTTAAATAACATATATAGATAGATATAAACAAAACCATTTGGAACGGGAATGCCATATATATCATTTTAAAACCAAAGAGGGAAATCAACCTCAAAGACTCATCAACACTCTAAAAAGAAACGATGATCATCAACCTCACAATAACAACAAGACCGTGACATAAAAGACAACACAACCCAAGATGCATTCTACTGATCACAAAGTAGAATACATCAAGACATGCTCACAAGCAAAGAATTCACATTCACACGGTGACAACTACATGTCACAAGTATCATAGTTCCAACCTTATGGCTACCCCCGGCCTTATAACAGTTACAACTGTTACCTCCTAGTGCCACCCTGTACTTCTGAGTCCAACCTTATACCGCCAAGGACCGTCGTCCCCCCTCCAACAACCTCCAACATACCGCCGAACTCTCAGTACATGAAGGTACCATAATTTCATTCACACAGCCTCCAACATGTGAGCAAAGCTCATATAGCACACCACCTATAATGCCCCGTGTTACGGCCTCTAACCCAAACTAATTATTTAATTACTTACCCTTAAAAGTGAATTGAATTCCCTTAATTAATTAAGAAGGGTCCACCATAGACCATGGACCCTTATCCCTAAACCAAATCCTTAATCCTATAAGGAATAGAATAAATAAATCCCTACCATTCAGACCCTAATTATGACTCTTAGATATATATAAGCACATATGAGGCACCTAGAATTCACACCACAATAGATTCCACCACACAAGAATTCTCAAGAATTCCCTTATCACTGAACGTAGGAGAAATGAAGAAGAGGAGATCTTAGAGAAAGAACCATAGTAGCCAAGGATTTAATTTGACCCAAATCCTCTAATTTATTGATGTGTTCCATGGTGGACCGTGGACCTTTGTCTATAATAAAGCCTTTGAGCCTGTTACATTAAACAAGGAGGGCCCATCTACCTTTCAGATTCTAATTGGGAATTCTAAACCTATTTAAAGGAGTTAGAAAGCATTTAGAACCTTTTCATCCATCCCTATTCCCTCATACTCGAAAATCCCTCCCAAAACCTAGTCAAAGAATTCCCCATCTTTTCAATCGTCAAACGCTACCAAGTTTAGATCTTTTTCCCCATCACCAAGCTTAGGAGAGATCACGTGAAGGGGAGACCTTGAAGAAGAATCTTAGGATTTGTGGGGAGTTTAATTAAGCTAAAAAGGTAACCCATGTCTTACAAAACCTATTTTCTTTGCTATAGTATGATTTATTGGTATCTTTGAATGATGGAATGCGTTATCTTGTGATTACGCCTTGATAGAGCTTGTATTTAGGGTTTGTATTGTGAATTCTTGATATTCTTGATGTTCTTGAGTGATTATATACATATTCTTGCGTTTATGCATGTTTAGGGCTTGTGGTTAGGGTTCAATAATGTTATTCCTAGGGTTATTCTATGTATTAAAGTCTCTATTATTGTTGATGTGAGTTTTGATGTGTTTGGAGTTGAATTTGGCAAGATTGATGAATTCCAGAAGTGGTGAAATTTGTCACTGGTTTGGTACCAGCGGGTAGTCGGTGGGGGGACGATCCCCCACCCGGCCACCCGCCGGTCAGTGGGTAACGTTCTAGCGGGCGGCTGGCGGGTGGACTGGAACAAGGTGGTCCACCAGTGGGTAGTCTGGCGGGTGGTTGTCCACCCGTTGGTACGACCGGTGTGGTAGTTCGTCGGCCTCCGTTTGGTCGATCCTCGTGCCCCGAAGTGTCTTCTTTGATGTTTTGTGAGTCTAGAATGATGTCCTAAGTGCCATAATAGGATTTGTGGGTTCTTGAATTATGCATGTGGTCTAAACTTGTATCCCGTTGGTTCAAAGTATGGTCTATGATGTTCCTTATGAGTTTTATGGTTGTCTTTGTAACAACCCCGATTTTACCACATTTTTAAAACTTAAATTCAAGGGAAAAAAATCTAATCATCAAGATATAAAGCAAGCGGAAGCTGTATAAAATTGGTAAGCGTTATGCCACACCTATCTCAAACATAGGTGCACAGGCGGGAAAACTAACAAGTCAACAAAACAGAAAACGTCTAGGGACACAGGCCGCTAAACTAGGCTCACAGGCCAACAAAAGGTAAGGTCTAAACATGGAAACTACTCTATCTAGCATCCACATCTACCGCGCTCGGCATCTACTCAAAACCTATAAAACATGGGGATAACACCCGGTCAGCGAACATTGCTGGTAACCCATTAATATGCGTTAAATAACATATATAGATAGATATAACCAAAACCATTTGGAACGGGAATACCATACATATCATTTTAAAACCAAAGAGGGAAATCAACCTCAAAGACTCATCAACACTCTAAAAAGAAACGATGATCATCAACCTCACAACTACAACAAGACCGCGACATAAAAGACAACATAACTCAAGATGCATTCTACTGATCACAAAGTAGAATACATCAAGACATGCTCACAAGCAAAGAATTCACATTCACACGGTGACAACTACATGTCACAAGTATCATAGTTCCAACCTTATGGCTACCCCCGGCCTTATAACAGTTCCAACCGTTACCTCCTAGTGCCACCCTGTACTTCTTAGTCCAACCTTATACCGCCAAGGACCGTCGTCCCCCCACCAACAACCTCCAACATACCGCCGAACTCTCAGTACATGAGGGTACCATAATTTCATTCACACAGCCTCCAACATGTGAGCAAAGCTCAAATAACACACCACCTGTAACACCCCGTGTTACGTCCTCTAACCCAAACTAATTATTTAATTACTTACCCTTAAAAGTGAATTGAATTCCCTTAATTAATTAAGAAGGGTCCACCATAGACCATGGACCCTTATCCCTAAACCAAATCCTTAATCCTATAAGGAATAGAATAAATAAATCCCTACCATTCAGACCCTGATACAGACTCTTAGATATATAT